AGGCAAATATATGATTTCCTTATATACGGAATCTAAAAAAAACAAAACAAATGAACAAACAAACAAACCAGACTCTTAAATACAGAACACAAACTGGTAGTTGCCAAAGGGGAAGTGGGTGGGAAGATGAACAAAATAGATGAAGGGGATTAAGAGGTATAAACTTCCAGTTATAAAATAAGTAAGTCATGGAGATGAAAAATATAGCATAGGGAATATCGTCAATAATATTGTAGTAACATTGTATGGTGACAGATGGTGACTATACTTGTGGTGAGCACTGAGTAATAGATAGAACTGTTGAATCGATATGCTCTATACCTGAAACTAATGTAACACTGTATGTCAATTATACTTCAGTAATAAATTAAAAAAAAAAGGAAAGAAAATGTAAGTGAAATCATGTCACTCATGTTACTCAAAAATCGCCATGGATTCCATTTCACTCAGAGTAATAGCCAAACTCTTAAATATGGTCTATAAATAAAGTCCTATGATATGGCTCCTTGCAACCTCTCTGACCCTTTCTCTCCTTTTCACTCACTGCTTCTAGCCATGCTGGCCTTCTTGCTATTCCTAAACAAGTCATGGCACACTTCCACATGAAGGCCTTTGTAACTACTGCTCCCTCTGCCTGCAACATTCTTTACCCATGCTGCAGTGATCTTGGCAGCTCAAAATGACAGATTCTCACAAGTCTGTCAATTAACTAGATGGTGGTTCTGTTGGTCTCACTTGGACTCACCCATGAGTTTGCAATCAGCTGACAGCTTGGCCGGGCCTAGAGGATCTGAGATAATCTCTCTCCCACATCTCAGATCTTGGTGCTGGCTGTTAACTGGCCTTCTATCTCTACATGGTCTCCCATAATTTGATATTCTAGCCCATATTCCCTGCACAATACAAGAAGCACTCCAAAAGGGCAAAGGCAGAAGCTTCAAGGTTGCTTGAAGCTTAGAATTTGGAACTCTCTGTCTTCCTTGTCAGTTGGTCAAAATAAGTTATATGACCAACCCAGATTTAAATGCGACCATTTGATGGAACAAGGTGCAAAATGTTGTGAATTCACAATTATCACACCCCAGATATTTGCATGGCTCAGTCCCTTCACATGTTTGCTACATGTCATCTTAGAAGTGAGGCCTTCCATGATTCCATATAAAGTAATTACCCTCCCCTCACCTTGGCATTTATACTCCACACTTTATTTTAGCACCACCTGACATGCATATTTACTTGTTTTATTATCTCCCTCCTTCCCCCTATCATAGAAGCTCTGCCAAGGTAGGAATATCTTCTATTTGGTTCCCTAGTATATCTACACCACCTTGAACTCTGCCTTGTACATAGTAGGCATTCAATCAAGACCTGTTGAATGAATTCTCTCATTCAAATGAGCATGTACTATAAAATAAGGCAAGAATCCAAAATAACTCAAAAAGCGTAATACAAATTTTATGCATGTGAAATATTAGTGGCTTTAGATGTTCTTTGATTTATTCTAAGATTTTGAACAGAACATTTTGTTACACACTTCAGTGAGTCCATCTATACAGACTTTAGTCCCTGTTTCTTGAATATAATGAGAATGTTTTAATGTTTCAACTCTTCATTAAAAGTTTCTGCTGGGCCTAGAATGTACATGGTCTTGGTAGCTTACCATTCTGGAACCAAATGGGGAAGCGGCAAGATTTATCTGCATAATAACAATAATTTAAGTAAGATTCATATGATTAATAGTGTATCCAAGTTTTGCCTACATTAGTGCCTGCTAAGTTTATCATTTCTTCAGAACATAAAAAAAGTTAAAAAAAAGTCCTATATTAAGTTCAGAATTTAAATGGGAAAAATTCTAAATAGAAAACACATCAGAAAAAAAAACAGTTTATCAGACATATATGTAAATATGTGTGTATAAAAAAAAATAAAAATGCTCTGACCTCATCCCTAAATCTACTCAATATAAACAGAATGGGTGAATGCTATAGAGAGGAGAAGATATATACTAGACATCAGGACTGGAACCACTCTCACCATCCCAATCAACTAAAGCACTGTTATCAGGTCTAAAACAGTTTTACCTTCCATGTGGGAAATAGGATTACTTACCTATTAAAAATTCTATTTTCTGTACTAGAATAATAAAACTAGAGACAATAATGTAAATGAGTTAGCTGGTTACCTACAAAAGAATCTTTTCCCTCAGAGAAACAGCTGTGTGAGGGTAAAGGGGTGGGAAGGAGACCTGCTTTTTATTGTATATCCTTTTAGGCTTTTTTTTTTAAACATGCATATAGCACCTCCAAACAAAAAGTAAAAATAAAAACATCAATGCAATTTAAAAAGAGGAATTAATTCCCTCTCTGGCTCTAGACATAGTATATAATCTGAAAGGAAGTTTTCGTAAGTGGCATTTTGCGTAGTACATAGCCCAAGGAAAAATCAGAATAAAATGGTAAGCATTCTATATGCCTTATGTGTTTCATGTATCTGTATTTTATGGCTCATGTGGAAATCATTGCTCCTCTGCCAAACTGACAAAGACTGGGATAGCATCTAAAGACAGTAGGTAGTTTAATCCAATGTTAATTTAGGTAGAAGAAAACTTAAAACTAAGAACATAAAAGATTTTCTGCCTTAAAACAATTTTTTTAAAACAAGTAAAAGTTTTGTGATTTTATTTTTTGGTCTTAATTCCAATATATTCAACATACACTGTTATATTAGTTTCAGGGGTACAATGTAGTAGATTCAACAATTCTATACATCACCCAGTGCTCATCACAAGGGCACTCCTTAATCCCCAACACATATTTCACCCATCCCCTTACCCCTACCCCCCTCCTCTGGTAACCATCAGTTTGTTCTCTATAGTTAAGAGTCTGTTTTTTGATCTCTCTCCTTCTCTTTTTCCCTTCGCTCATTTATTTTGTTTCTTAAATTCCACATACGAATGACATCATATGGTATCTGTTTCTCTGATTTATTTCGCTTAGCATTATACTCTCTAGCTCCATCCATATTGTTGCAAATGGCAAGATTTCATTCTTTTTTATGACTGAATAATATTCCATTGTATAAATACACCACAACTTCTTTATCTATTCATCTGTCAATGGACACTTAGACTCTTCCATACTTTGGCTATTGTAAAAAAATGCTGCTATACATGTAGGGGTGCATGTATGCCTTTGAATTAGTTTTTATATTTTTTGGGTAAATACCCAGTAGAGCAATTACTGGATTATAGGGTAGTTCTAGTTTTAGCTTTTTGAGGAATTTCCATATCTTTTTCCATAGTTGGCTGTACCAGTTTGCATTACCACCAACAGTGCAAGAGGGTTCCTTTTTCTCCATATTCTTAAACACTTGTTGTTTAAGCTTTATTTTAAAGCAACAAAGTCCTCTTAGGATTCATTTTATTTATACCACATGGGTTTAGAGATACATACACTTTTACACTCATGAGTTGTTGATAAACTACTACACCATTGTTTCTGATGTGCTTTCTACTCAGAATTCTTCCATGTACCTAGATTAAATTCTGATTCTAAGTAGCCATAGTAGTAAAACATACTTTGATAAAGTAAATCTTCACTAGCCAAAACTGCTGCATTAGCCAAATCCTAAACATTAAAGGTTTCTTTCATACCAGTGAAAAAGATTAGGTAGTTTTATTTGACTCCCAGCACTGGGGACATTTTCATTCAGGGAAAGGAACTGTTCTCTTCTACATTAGAAATAGGAACATTACTATCAAAAAAATTTGATGAATCAAACAGCTGCCGAAAAAGAAAAAGAAAAAAAAGGCAGATATACATTAGGAATTCTAATGGTAGGAAAGAGGAAGGGATGGATAAACAAGAGATAACCAGTGAGCACTTGCATGAGCTAGCTGTATGACCTTAGTCAACTCTTTTAACCTCTCCAGGACTAATTTTTTCATTTAGAAAAAAGAAAAAGAAGGGAGACATAAAACCAGGAGATTTAAGATTCTCCTTAACTTAAAAAAAACCCCACAAAACTATAGTTTTGTATTATTAGTAGCATGTTGTTCATTATAGCCCTTGAACTCAAAAAATTCTAAGAATTATGCCAAAAATGTACTAGCACATGTAAGCAAAGATATTTGTATCTGGACAAGGATGTTCACTGACAGCATTATCTGTATTAGCAAAAGCCTGTGGAAAATGACCACATGTTCAGTAGAAAGCTTGTTAAAGAAATCATAGCATACCTACACAATGGAATACTACGAAGCCATTTAAAAGACAGGGAGCAGTAGGAAACAACCTCTAAAATACATGGCCATGTGAATAAAGCATGGCACAGATGGTATAAAATATAGGGTGTCTTTTTTTTTCTTCAAGATTTTATTGATTTATTTGACAGAGAGAAACACAGCAAGAAAGGGAACACAAGCAGGGGGAGTGGGAGAGGGAGAAGCAGGCTTCCTGCGGAGCAGGGAGCCCGATGCAGGGCTCAATCCCAGGACTCTGGGATCATGACCTGAGCCGAAGAGAGACAAATGCTTAACCGACTGAGCCACCCAGGCGCCCCATAGTGCATTCTTATCTTGGTTGTTAAGAAGGGGATGTTAACATACACAAAAATGCAAATTTATACACACAGATGGACCTACAGGTATTTTATATATATATAGAGAGAGAGAGAGAGAGAGACACATGCACATATATATTCTTATTAATGCAAAAAATATTTCTAATGCATACACAAGAAACTGGTAGTAGTTGTTACTTCTGGGAGGGGAACTAGCACTTTAAGGCAGAAGTAAGATTTAAGTTTTTACTGTAAACCACTTTTTCGCTCTGATTCTACCATGTGAAGCTTTTATTAAATAAATTTAAAAAACCCATAAAATTTTTATTTAAAAATACTTCTATTTCCCATACTTTAAATTACCTCAAATACTTTACTTATCAAATACATGTCTTCTCTGAAAAAAGATGATTATTTTATGCAAAGATTTTTCAGATTACCTTAAAAAGCCTGGGAAACACATCTGCTGGTTGTCCACGAATCACAAACAAACGAGAGTTTAATTTTCGCAGATTGGCATCAAGGTCTTCAAGGCATTGAAGCAAAAATCTACAGAGAAAAATATTAAAATTCTTAAACATGTATATTTAGAAGATATAAAGTATTACAAAATCATGTTATTCTAAAAATTGACATGCCAACCCCATCATTTTATTACCTCTTATTATCTTATTATTTCTAACTGATCTGTAAATTCCTGTTTCCAGAAATCATACTTGTTACAATTTTCTTATTACAACACAAGTTTCTCAGTATTTTAATGAAATTCCTAAATTAAATCACTAACTTCCATTAAATAATAGTGAGTGAATGTTAGCAAGGTTTAATTGGTAAGCATAAAAGTTATATAAATTAAATGAATTGATTTCATTGTTTCACTGATGAAATGAACTCAAGTTCAAACAGAAAAACCACCTTGAAAAATCTAGAACATTTTTCTACTGCAAAAAATGGAAATATCCTATTTAATCACTCTAAGCAAGTGAATAAGAATTTGAGTATTAGGGGATACTGTAATCATCTATGAGAGAGAAAACATGTCTACATTCAAGTTTCTTATCTAATTAAAGAAACTGATTAAATAGACATGAAATTATGTGGCATAACTCTGAACGCCAGGTTAATTAAAGAAGAAAAATTCCACGAGACAGGTGGACTTTTCTCAATGAAGTAAGTACCAACAAGGCTTACACATGATAGATATGTTGAGAAATTCTGGGGTAGTACCAGAAGACTGCTCACTGTGCATCTTTTATTGTGAAGAAATGGAGCAGTCTCCAAGAGCAAATCTGAAAGAGAGGTCATCCCTGGAAAATTCAACCTCACTATTTGCCTCATACTAATTTCTAACATTTCATCCAGACTCTCTTCCCCTCAGCTGGACATACCTTATTTCTTCTTTACTCTGCTCCTTTCATGTATCTGAACTTAAGGTTAAATATGTGTCTGCCTTTTCCACAGGCCATGTGTTCTCTGAGAACAGTGATTGTGTTTACTTATGAGGAGTAGCTAATACGAATGAAAAGGCACATTTCAGAAATGCGTTGTCCAATATGGTAGCCACTATGCACATATAGCCATTTAAATCAAAATGAACAATTCAGTTTCTCAGTCACACTTGCCGTATTTCAAGGCCTCTCAACAGCCACATGTGTGCCTAATAGTTACTATATTGGACAGCACAGGTGAAGAACATTTCTATCACTGCAGAAAGTTCTACCAGACACCATTATTCTAGGAGGCTGTTCAGATCATTTGCCTATTCTGATACTATCATTTCATCAAGAAAGTTTTGTTAATTTTTTACAGTTGTAGTTATTACTGACATCAGTATACTTAGTCAAGTTTGATACTCTTTTCTATTTAGGAGTCATCATCTCTATGGGTGTGGGGACTCATGAGGATTCATGACTACATATATCGCCTTTATTTTTTTTTAAAAGATTCTATTTATTTATTTGCCAGAGAGAGAGAGAAAGCACAAGCAGGGGGAGCGGCAGGCAGAGAGAGAAGCACGCGCTGAGCAAGGAGCCAACGCGGGACTTGATCCAAGGACCCTGGGATCACAACTTGAGCCGAAGGCAGATACTTAACCGACTGAGCCACTCAGGTATCCCCCATCATATCACCTTTAGGAAGTTCCACAATTGTCTTTAAACAAATAGGAAACAAATCTTTCTATCTTCACATTTATATTTCATCTCACCCCTGTTCTGTTTGGGTTTGGAGCCATCGCCCTAACTCTGACCCCTACCCCAACCTACCACTACAAATGTGCAAACACTCTGGGGGAGAAGATTGTTGTTGTTTATATACCAATACAAAAGTACCTGAATTTTATAAAATTATCCATAACTATGAATAATATTTCATGTTTGGTGATAAATGTTTATTAGGAAACATCTAGTTTTATGTATTTGCTTGGCAAAAGAGTTTTTTAGACACTGTAGCAGTCAGATAAAAAATTAACAGGTTGAATGAACTAGCAATTTTAAGTTTTCTTAAACAGTACAAAACTAAAATGTCCTGGAAGGATAATCCAAGGCACAGATAGTTCTCAAATCTCTTTTGTGCCACTAGTTTCAGAATGGAAACGTTTCCATATGGTACAAGCAGGTCAAGGATAGATGGGAAAAAATGGGAAAAGAAAAAAAACCTGATTAATGCATAAAATGAATAAACCTGGATTAATTAATAATTGGCCTTTTATTTTTCCCTTTCTTGTTCACAGGCTAAGCATTCTTAATACTTTTCAATAAACACCCTACGAACCAAACACTGGAGAGAATGATATGAACTGAAGCAATGTCTTACAATGGAAAATGCAACCAAAGAATTAATTTTGTTTTGGTACTGCATAAAACAAAGGAATAGATATATTTAAATATGGTGTTTTTCTTCCATAGTATGATATTTTTCTTCCACAGATGTTATCATTTGTATCATTGTAATTTCACATAAAAATTAGAGAAGTACAGTGGACTTAAATATAGGTACTTTATTTTTTTAAAAGATTTAAAAAAATTTTTAAATTATTTGACAGAAAGATAGCGAGAGCAGGAACACAAGCAGAGGGAGTGGGAGAGGGAGAAGTAGACTTCCCATGGAGCAGGGAGCCCGATGTGGGGCTTGATCCCAGGACCCTGGGATCATGACCCGAGCCGAAGGCAGACACTTAAAGACTGAGCCATCCAGGCACCCCCAAATATAGATACTTTAAAAAGAACATTGTACCTTTGTACTGTGACTTCTAAAACCAAAGGCATATATTTTTTTCATAAAATAAAATTTACTTTCTACATATTTACTTATGTTATATGTACATAAGAAAATTATTAGAAGAATACTTACCAAGCTGTTAATAATAGCTATCTTTGGGGAGTGGGAATCTCAGGTGGGACTGAGGATGAGAGAAACAAGCTTTTTTTTTTTTTTTTAACTTCATAAAAGGTATAAAATTGATAATGAGCATACACTCTTTCAGAGTAAAACAAACTGAGAAATACTGTATCTACTATAAACAAGGTTTAATACAGAGTGAGTATCTTTTCAAAGCAATAGACACACCTCTATGGCATCAATTTTGATGGTTTCATACTATTCCATTACATGGATATCACATAATTTAACAACTCTAGCAACAAATTACTATCCTTCAATCAATCCTGTAAAGTTCTAATTTCCTTATCTTTATGGCGGGGATAATAACAGGACCCATATCACAGCATGTTGTGAGAATTAAATTAACTAATATATGTGAAGCTCTCAAAACAGTGCCTGATCCATAATAAGCACAATTACCTGTTATCTATTATTTTTGGTCCTCTCTTTCCTAGTACTTCTGTTATTGGTATAATAATTCTAGCCCTTATTATCTCTTGCTGGCATTATTTATTGCAATGTCTTAAAATACATTTTCCTACCAACATCTCTTCCCCACTCTAATCCACTTTATACACTACACCAAATATTTCTGACGCAAACTTTCCTGTACAAAGGTCTTCAAAAACTCAATCCCTAAAACACATTATTTTGTTTGGCCACTAACTTACGGTTCCAGGTTCATTTCTTACTATTCCCCCTTCCTTCTCACCAAACCACTCTTTTCGCCACATATCCACTCTCCTGGAATTTGCTCCATGATCTTCCCTCAGCCAAAATACCTTTCCCAATTTCCATCTCTTCAAGTTCATATACAACTAGTCTTCAGTCTTCCAGCTGAAAGTAATTTCTCCATCATCTAAACTATTTTTTTTATTTTTTTTATTATGTTAATCACCATACATTACATCATTAGTTTTTGATGTAGTGTTCCATGATTCATTGTTTGTGCATAACACCCAGTGCTCCACGCAGAATGTGCCCTCTTTAATACCCATCACCAGGCTAACCCATCCCCCCACCCTCCTCCCCTCTAGAACCCTCAGTTTGTTTTTCAGAGTCCATCGTGTCTCATGGTTCGTCTCCCCCTCCGACTTACTCCCCTTCATTCTTCCCCTCCTGCTATCTTCTTCTTTTTCTTTTTTCTTAACATTCCATCATCTAAACTATTAAAGGACATATGGAATTCATCCTAGGGAAACGTTCACATTGTACTTTATATTATAGCTATCATATATACATAGCAACTTCTCCTTCTGATGGATTCCAAATTAGTATCTGTGTCTCATTCCTAACTATGCAGTTTTCTTAACCCGTGTTTTGGTTTCTACATTTGGCAAACAAATATCATGTGATCAATACAATCTGTTGAAAAGATCAGAAATAGGATTAAAAAAAAGAACCCACAGAGTTGTCTTGTATGACTGTTGAAAAACTAGAAACACTACAAAATCACCTAGTAGAATTACTAGGACTTGGTAGATATTCATTAGCATAAGTTGGTAGCATAAGTTATCATTATTCTCCTCTTGGAATAATTTATATTTCCAAAAGAAGGAACACATATTTCTATGTAAGTACCTGGGAATGAGAACAGAAGACAATTAATTAGTTGGATGCCTACATCTACATGCATAATTGTCTTGGATTCATAATTTCTCCTAAATGTGACTTTGAACAAAGGTTCAATGAAAATCTTTCCCAATGACAAGGCAAATGCGAACTTGAATAAATATATAACAGGAGCAAGGGAAACAAAAGCAAAAATAAACTATTGGGACTACATCTTGGGATTCTCTTCTTCACTCCACTCCACAGTGAAGGGAAACAATCAACAAAACTAAAAGACAACTTACTGCATGGAAGAAGATATTTGCAAATGACATATCCAATAAAGGATTAGTATCCAAAATACATAAAGAACTGATACAACTCAACACCCAAAAACCAAATAATCCAATTAACAATGGGCAGAAGAAATGAACAAACGTCTCTTCAGAGAAGACATACAAACGGCCAACAGACACATGAAAAGATGCTCAACATCATGCATCATCAGGGAAATGCAAAACAAAACCACAATGACATACTCCTCACACCTGTCACAATGGCTAACATCAAAAACTCAAGAAACAAGTGTTGGTGAGGATGTGGAGAAAAAGGAACTT